CAGAGACAGTCCGTAAACTTCATAATGAAGCTCCAAAATTCCTTTTCGAAAACGAATTTGAAAACCATGAGCAAATTTTTTTTTTGTACTTATAGACCTTTTAGTACTTGAGTTGCAAAGTCTCTAACTGTTAAGATGGTACCCTTAACAATTGGTACGACAGTGATTTGAGCCAAATGATGTTTTTAAGTACCCGTCCGTCATTTGACATTCGATACGAGTCTAATGACTCATTCTAATTTCTTTCAGAAATGGAACCAGTTGGAAGGATCACTAGAAGGAACCCGTTGGGCCGTGCACCTGGTGGGTCCGAGCGCGGTAGCCGGGGGTCCTCTAGGGGATCAAGAGGAAGGGGCCGTGGAGGCCAACGTCAAACCGTGAGCGATGGCCACGTCGATACCGAAAGTGAGACCTATTGGTCCTATGAGGACTCAACCTACCAGCCGGGGACTGAGCCAGTTGAGACCCCTTACGAAGGGAATGATGATGATGTGAGTGATGAGGAGGAAAGTGGCTCCTTGGCCAGGATCGAAGCGCTACTCCAAGAGTATGATCGGGAGCGCGAAGAAAGGAGGGCACGCCGAAGGCACCGTGCAGGGCAACCTTCGGACGGGGCTTCAAGAGGGAGGAGCTATTGCGATTCGAGAACCCATGTGGAAGCGCATGGAAGTCGGGGCGATGGAGGTCCAGCCATAAGGATCTCCAAATACATCAAAGAGGCGAGGGACTTAGGGTGCAAACCGTTCGATGGGACGGGAGACATCTCGGTTGCCGCACAGTGGATCAAGAGGCTGAACGAGGCAGCCCTTGACATGCAGCTCACCCCCGATTTTAAACTGAGAATCGCGGTAAGGTTACTCGAAGGGTTGGCATCCAAATGGTGGGATGGAACCAAGGGTAAGTATGGCGGAACTGTTACATGGGAGGATTTTCGACAAGAATTCTTTGCCCAGTACTACTCTGACTTCGAAGTAAACGCCAAGGTGAGGGAATACACTCTCCTAACCCAGGGTGGTAACATGACGGTGAAAGAACTTGAGAACAAGTTCAGAGACCTTGCTGATCACATACCGGAGTATGCTTGTGATGAAAACCGAATGGTGAATCATTTTTGGGAGGCCTTGGACTTGGAGATACGCGACAGGGCAACTCAATTGCCCAACATGACTTTCAGCCAAGTGGTCGCCCAAGGGTTGAAAGGAGAAAAGCAATGGGAGGAGAGGAAGAAGAGAGATGCCGAAGAGGCTAAGAAAAGAAAGTGGGAAAGCCATGGCCCCCAAGGTCCCAACAAGAAGGGGAACCATGGGGGAGGTGGATCGTTCAGGGCACCGGCAGCACCATCCAAGGGAAACCCGGCCACGAGCGGGCACTACTCGGGCTCACAAGCCCCAACGACGCCCAGGTGCAGGAATTGCAACAGGAACCACGCCGGTAAGTGTCGTGATCCACCACGGTGCTACCAATGCGGGAGTACAGGGCATATTAAGCCAAACTGCCCTCAACTTGGTGGGGACCGGGGGTCAGGACCAAGCGGCGCTACCACGACAAGTAGGAACCGGGCCGGAGCATCTCATGCCAGTGTGGGCCAGGGGGAGCGAACACGAGCAATGCGCCGTCCGTGAATCAAGGAAGAACTCAAGCTAGAGTTTATGCGATGACGGAGGCGGACGCACGTGCTAACCCGGACTCCGTGGCGGGTAAGATCTTGAACTCATGATATTACTCCATTGTATGCAATAGGAGTGTTTGTAAGGTGCAAAATTTGTAACCCCGACGGTTTGGTCGGGATTGTTGGAAAAAGGGGAGGAAAAATCCCCGCCCTGGGCGAATGCCGCCCGACATTTGACGAAAGCCGCCCGGCTTTCGTCTTGAATTATTGAGAAAATGCTGCGGCGACGAATGCCGGCCGGTTTCCACCAAAAGCCACCCGACTTTCGTCAACATTTAATCAGGAAAATCCTCGCAACCAAAAACCGGCCGGCTTTTGTAAAGATCGGCCGGCTTTCATAAATGCCTGACCTGGGAATTTTCTCGCAGCTGAAAGCCGCCCGGCTTTGGCGAAAGCCGCCCGGCTTTCGTCGGGCCTAGGGATTCCTGCGCTGCTGAAACCCGGCCGGGTTTCGTATAAACCGAACAACATTTGAACGAACATTAAATGTTGCGCCCATATCCGAGCCACCACCAAAAGAGAACGGAAGGTGTGAACCCATCACATTTAAAGCAATGGTCTGTCGCTCAATCCATACCACACAGAAGCGAGTTTTTCATTAGCGTGGTACGTGATGGGGCAGACCATTTTTGGAGAATACTTGTGGATATTAAGAACAACATGAACTGCTTTAGGAGTGAGAAGATGGTCCTTAGTAGACAACAACTTACATCACTCTTAATGCCCCTCAATACCTCACCAGAGATTGCATCAAAGGTGATGGGACAATCTCACCCTTAGTCAGCATTGGGAAGGATAGAACCAACTCATTTGAAATGGGTAAAAATGATCAATATTATTCTATAAAATGTGATGGTTCTCATTGGACCACCATACATCTCACATTCAAAGTCTTTCTTACGTTGATTTACTCAATATGCCCCTATGCCCTCTGAGTGACCCAAATGGAGGATTTGGTGGTCATATCTTCCTTTCGTCATTCATGCATCAAGCTTCCCATCAACCCTGGTGTGCTGTTGCTGCTGCAGGGAGGGATAAAAAAGACAGGGGTGTGATATCCTATGGTATACACTATTTCACAAACCAATCCTGATGAACCGGTTAGGCAAAAGATCTCAATGAACATGGAACTTGATTCCAAGCTCAAGGAAGGCGTCATTATCCTGCTGATCAAGTACAAAATTGTGCTCCCTCTAGGTTCCGACGTTATGCTTGAGATTGATCCATCCATCATGTGCGACTTCATAACTATCCACCTAAGTGCAAAAACAATTCAATAGGAAAAAGGTACATGGCGTCTGAGAAAGGGGAATCCACCAAGAGGTCACCGTTTTGTTGAGCACCGAACACATCCGCACCATCACTCATATGAATGGTTGTCCAAAGTTGTGTTTGCGCAAAGGGGTTAATGAGGGCACTTGCATTGATTACTATGAACTCGACCAATCTTACCCCTTAGTACCATATACGGGTGATGGATAGTGTACCCGGGGGTAGCTTATCCGAGGGGTTATTACGGGGAATAACAAGAGAGAAGTCAGAGCAAGTAAATATAGAGAGAGAAAGTATATTGTAAAGTGTGGAGCGTTTTCAGCGTTTATCACTTGGTTACAAATGGGAAAAGGGGGTGCTATTTATAGTAGCAATAAATGCCGGACAGGGACACGTGTCAAGCGCCCATTGGCCGAGAGGTCACCTCATCTGGTTGGCGCTGGCAACCGCATGTGGCCGCATTTAATGCGACTGTTGGATGGGACGTTGTGCAGGGTACGATGATCTGTACGCATGTGGAGCGAATATTGTGTCGGAAGAGGCGCCCTCAGTAGTAGATGACTAGCCGAGGGCTCTGAGTACCGGGGACCCCCTTAGTGCCGAGGGCTCCCACTGCCGAGGGCTACTGATTTTCGCCGTTTTTCTCCAGTAACTTTGTTTTGCTGTGTTGGCCCTCCTGTGATAGCTACAGCCTTCGGCCAGGGGGCCGAAGGCACCCTTGATGCGCATTGTGGGCTACTTGGTACTCTGGGCGCTGTGATTTGGGCCTGTTGGGCCTTCTGGGCCTGCTGGGCCTTGTTTGGTGTAGTAGAAGTCTGTGAGCCGGGGGTTCCCGGGCCATATACTCCATCAATGAGATTGAGGATTGACACTTCTTAACCGATCAATTTTGCTCCAACCAATCTAAAGTGACCTATATGTAGACTTCTTAACACATTATTAACAATACAAGTGTGGATGGGTGGGCACTATAGGTTGAATAAACTTAATTCAATTCTATTAGATACGTCTAATCCTTAAATACAACTAGTATTCTACCCGTGCGATGCACGGGAAAATATATTACTCATATGAAAAAGTAAGTTTTTGAACCATGTGAATTATTCATGTAATTTAATAATTTATCACATATAGATTAGATTGTCATAATGTAATAATTGTAAATATAAATGAACAGAACAAAATCTAAGAAACAAAAGATTTCCACAATGATAAAAGCATATTGAAGGATGAAAGTTATAAATGTTTTACAAATTTCAAAATACTTGCATAAATACAATATTTGTTGTTACATTGATACTTTTGCGATTTTTGTGACATATAACTATTTTCAAACCACCGATATTAGAGTCAATGGATATTAGACAATCAGAAGAAATTGTGTTCTTTGAAACTTTAAAGACAACCTCAAACCATCTAGTTCAAGGACATTCTTGTTCTTAACTCCTTTTCACCTCCTTTCAAAAAAAACTCCTTTCAACCTATGTTAAACAATCAATCCGAAAAGCAACCCGGTCACATATTTGATATGATTTTCATGGTTAAAAAAACAAATAGTATATAAATATATTGCATATTATTTCTCTTTAGGGTATTGAAATTGTAATTTATTGGTTTAAAATGCTTTAAAATTAAAAAAAAAGTTTTTTTTGGGGGAAAAGACAATCCAAACCCGGGTTTTCTGGTCTGAGTCTGTACCGATTTTTCCATTTTTTGACCATTTCCGGGTTTTAACTAACAGAACCGAGTTTCAGTCCAGGTTGACCCGGCTTGACCGGGTCAGTTTTTTAAACATAGATTTTCACTTGCACTTTATCCCGTCAAATTTTTTGCTTCCAAAACATGTTTACTTAATCTGGTAATAACCACTCTGGGGAGAATGTATTATTAATACTATTAGTATTGATTCATTACTTGAATTTACTCCAATCTAATGAGAATGTATTTCATATCTATACTACCCATGTTTTATTTAAAATATTTTTAATAATTGACAAATCCAGACCAAAATGCAGCCCAAAAGTCCACAATCCAAAGCCCAAAATGTACATGAATTACTCTCCAAACCCAAATTTCTTTCACGCCAACCTAGCGTAACATTCTCATCCCAAAAGCCACCGCCTCAACATCTTCTTCGACCACAACCATAGCCATTGGCACTCGCCCCTGCGCCAACCGATCATCATTTTCCATCTTCTTTTGGCATCACTTGCACCCTCTATGTTCGCCGGTCGCCACCATTAAGCTCATAGACCGATTGCCACCGTGTTGTCCTCACCGACAACCGGTCATCATATACATTTGACGCCTCCGACGACTCTCAGCACCTTTACTACGCCCAATCGTCAACAAAGTTTTCATAGGTAAGTTCTACATTTTAATGACTTTAATTAATTTCTTTTTCATGCAATTCTGAAGTACTTTAATATACTTTCTTTTTCATTTAAAAAGATGTATTTAGTTCGTACACTTCATATTCATTTGCTTGAAAAAATTCCGTTCAAATTTATATTTTATTATATAAGAACTCAAAAATTGTGATTCTTTGAGTAATATGATCCGGAATTGCTTGTGAATTATGTGGAATGCTTGCATCTAAACGTGCTACTTCAGAAAACATATTACACAAGAATTGATTTGTGAAAAACAAACTGTGATGATTATCCAACTATTTCGTATATCCAAATTTATACTCCGTATTTATTACAGATTTTACCCCAAAGACATATACACACATTTAATGAGTAATTATTGTTGAATTTGCATTTTGAGCATCATAGGATAGATATCAGAAATTGGTTTTAAGCATAGTAATGGGGACATGGAATATATTAACAAAGGGATGAAGGAAGCGTCTCAATGAAGTTTTTTCTTGAAATACATTTCTCTTCTGAATACAAACCCAAAAATAGATAAAAGCTAGAGAGAAGAGAATGGTGGTGTTGAGTTTTTTAAAATAAGGAAAGTTTTGCATTTCTGTTATATGCACGCATGTAGAGTAGTCATCTTTCATGATTCAAATGTGCATGTGCATGTGGGATATGCTGAAAGATTGTTTTTTTTACTTCAATTCAAAAACAACAATGCCACAAATCCTTCTTAAAGCTAACATGTTGGCTAAATTTTTATTAGAACTCAACTCTAACTTGGAAATTATGAAGAAACTTAAATTAATTTGAAACCTTTTTTGATATTACGACATGATCAAACTGAAATTAATTTGAAACCTTTTTTCTAGATAAAGATACTATACATCTTTGTTAATTTTTGACACAGATTCTTCTCTATTGTGCCTTTTGTTTTTATTTTTACTTATTTGATTGTTTTGACACCAAAGTTGATGCTCATAAAGTGACTACTATTTTTTAATAAAAGATTAATTACTACATCATACTCGATCAGAATCAACTTTAAATAATTAACCCTATTTTATTTTTTATTTTTTAGAACACAAAGAGGTATATATGCAATTACTAAGACTGTGGTATTGAGTTTTGATAGGACTGTAATGTTTTTTGCTTTGTTTGGGAGTTTATTTGGATAGTTCTTCTCTGGTTTATTAGTTGGACAAAAGAAAGAGTGTGGTTCAATAAGTGTCTTACGGAGTATTTGAGAAAAACACCGAAGGAAAGTAAAATCGTCATATTGCATTATTTTAACCACTTATCTAGATATTTATTAATGCTGCTTAATCTAATTCACATTCATGGTGATTTATTGCTAATTATATCACACTTGTGCGGAAGAAAAAATACCAGTGAAATTTAGAGTGATATGTACGGTCATGTGCACATAAAAATTTAGAATGAGATATTATTAATCTTTAATACAACAACAAAATAAAAGATTATTGGGATTTAGTGTGATTTCTACATTCGAATAATCAATGTGATTTATACATTCTGCATGTGATTTATACATTTCGCATTTTAGTTTCTTATATGTTTAAACTACAATTTTCATGAGAATGGTATGTTTTAACTAAAGAAAATGTGTTTGACGATAAGAGAGCAATTCACGAGTTGACACAGTAATAGTTTTTGATAATAACAAACAAACATTTGAAATTATTAAAGTAGTTCTATAAGTTTAAATGTATGAATCTTATTTTACCTTTACCTGTGATAGATTTCATGTGTATTTTACCTTAATGCCCAATGCATGTCTGAAGAAGTAATCTACAAACCAAAAGTTGGGACATCTAAACACCAATCATGTGTAGAAATCAGATTTCTTACAATAACTATGAGAACAATAATATCATGGTTTGTGTTAGGCAAAGATCTGAAGGTTCTATACCGTCCTACAGAAACGTTGATTTCATGTTTTTGCTTCCTTGTAGCCATTTCTTTGGGCTGCAAGCAATGATGAAGTTGTAAAAAGGTGGAACCCCTAATTATTTGTATAAGCAAGGTTGTATAGAACTGTTGATCTCAGGGCTTTGTTGTGGGTGAACAGTTTGGCCAGCTTCGTTATATGTCAGTAGAGGAGTAGAAAAGTTAGCTCGTATTTATAGTAGAAAGATTCTGGTAGCATTATGCTAGAATATGAAAAGCCACATTTTGGTAGCAAGCATTAAATGTCCACGTGTTGAACAATGTGATAGCACATTCAATGCATAAATGTTGAGCAACGTGAAACACATTCTTTCATACACACCTTTTCATGGAGAAGATAAACAGCCTCAAGCCGTCATAATTACTGCATTATTGTTTGCTAATCCTTTAGATGACCAATATAACATTTCAAACGTATTGAGCTAATCCCGCCCAAATTCCCTCCCAAAGTGCCCCCACACTTTTCCGTTTTTATATATATATATAGATTCTATTAGAGTATAATAATCTCTACTTTTAAAGCATTTTATAAAAATAATTTGTACCTAGAAATTCACAACTATTTTTGAATTTTCCCTTCGGAACTGATCCATTGGCTGAATCCGCCCCTGCAGACGCTCCTTAGGACCTCAGTTCTCGCGACCTCGTTCCAGCCCAAGCAACCGAGTCGTCTGTCTTCACATTCTCTCTGGGATCCCATCCGACGAAGAGAGGTAGGCACTCGTTACCCTCCGCTAGACCTTCACCATATTTAGCTACTTACCCCTTTACATCGTCACCCCCCAAAGTAGGATTTTTTTAATCCTAATATGAAATATTCATGAATGTTTATTAAAAGGCCATATTGTCTAACCTATTTCTGGAAATCTTACCATTAACTGAGTGAGGATGTTGCATTGGTGAGTCATTAAGCAATGTGCATCGATCTGAATCTTTTCTTTCTCAATCTTTAGCTTCTCCTTCAAGGAAAGCTAGCCTCTTCTCAGCCTCAAGCCTCAACTAATTTCTTTGTTGAATAACTGTATTCGAATATCCTCAAGTCTCAATTTTTTCCCCGGTTCCTTTATTGAATAACTGTTTGTAGATATCTACTTTAAAACGGTAGGGTGGTTGGTACCGGGGGGTTTCCTGTATGCTGTTTTTTGTATTTTTGTTATGTTTTGTTTGCGATGGTTTGTAATATTCTTAGGATTTCCCACTTTAATATGCATTTGAACTTGAAGAATTAGGCATCTGAACCTTTCGTTTGGAGAATCAGTATTCTACAAGTGTTTGATACTTCGTACATAATAAAGCAACACTTGGAATTCAACTGGTGTTTTTGTTACTGAAAGTTAAGCGTGAAAACTGAAAATTATTTCAGAATGTTTGATGAATGGAAGAAAGAGACATGGATCTGATCGTCTCGTTCGAGAGATGTATATATGACTATTAGTAATGTTGAAGTTTTAGATCACTTTATAAAAATGAGCACTAGGATCAATCAACTGGTGTAATAATTTATTGTACTTTGTTTAGACAGTATTTCTTACTTTTAACTCCAATTAGTATTTTTTCATTGACAAAAGTACAGGTATAGAATTCTTGCATCAAACAATATGATTTTTAAATTTTAATTTTAAGGTTATTTCAAATTCAGACAACTTAGTTGCTAGATTCAACACTGAAAAACGGGCTGCATAATTTATGTGCAAGTTGTCGATTTGTTTGATCAATTTGTTGCATATATTTTTATGGAGATTATACCATATATTTCTATGATCTCTTATCAGATAATGACACAAACGTGAAATGTGTTCTTTATATATAAAATTAGTGCAAAGCTATAAACCTGTAGCCAAACATATGTTTTGGGTTAAAACTTTAAAATACAAAAAAATTCAATGCTAGGTCTTTAATCTCCTATAAGAACCTTTGATCTAGACTGATATACATATACATAAAATATATTTCAGAATATACAATCTAATGTCTCGAGTCTCGACTATTAGTACTCGATGGTAAGGACATGTTGATTTGGACTTATTTCATTCTGGACCAACTCAGACTAGACTTAACATACTAGAGCAGACTTAAATAGACCAAACCAGATCATCATTAAATAGAGTAAACATAATATCAAATAGAAACTAACCAGGCTAGACTTAAATAAACCAAAACAGACTTGGATTTTACAAAAATTCCAACTCAAGTGAACAGGTTCTGAATCATGGGACTACCTGTGTGGGCGTGTGGCCTATAGATAAAATTTGGACCAATTAACTTCTCAGTATGAGATAACATCCATTTTATCTCCTTTTAATAGGATTCTGAAAGATACACCGAATTTGGATGGCATCTCTAACTTCAATATCAAGAAGCTTCACAAGACAATCTGTGATCAGCCGTCCAAGAACAATAACTGCCCCAAGATGCATGAGCAACTTGCCAGAGAATGCGGTGTATGGTGGTCCCAAGCCGCAGGACAATAACAAGAGGACAACACTCACCACTCTACGACAGAAGCACCACAAGGGGGAACCCATAACCATGGTAACTGCTTACGATTACCCTTCTGCTGTGCATCTTGACATGGCTGGAATTGATATATGTCTAGTTGGTGACTCTGCCGCGATGGTGGTCCACGGACACGACACCACCCTTCCAATCACCCTTGATGAGATGCTTGTGCATTGTCGAGCCGTCGCTAGAGGGGCAAAACGCCCTTTTCTTGTTTGCGATCTTCCTTTTGGTAGCTACGAGGCCAGCACTGGACAGGTATTTTTTAGATGCTTTTACTTTTTCATGGTATAATTTTAATCAAGACATTTGATTTTTTTTTTTTATTTCTTTTTGCGTTCTTTGGCTTTCACATTAAATTTTTAATCCACTACTTCCATCCTACTATCTTCATCTTTCCTTTTCGTCTGTCTAGTGTCTACTCAGTTTGTCTCATTACATATCTCTTAATATTTGTGTGGTTCAAATTCATTTATACTTTACAAACTCAATATCAACGATTTAATTCTACTTTCTTTAATATGCGTGTGACTTCATGATTTCCCAAAGACGGTGGGATGGAGGCAGTACTACTTAAGTGGGGCATCTGAGCATTTCAACTAAGGTTCTGAAAAGAAAAGATCATCTACTACTAGGCGAAAGTAGTCTTCTTCTTAACTCATCATATTTGATGCAAACATTTAGTTTGGCAAAAGTGAACTTGGTGGACTAGTGTACTGTTGTTGAATCATAAACAGGCTGTTGAAGCAGCAATAAGAGTTTTAAAGGAAGGAGCTATGGATGCTATTAAGTTGGAAGCCGGTGCACCTTCCAGAATTACAGCCGCTAAAGCGATTGTTGATTCAGGAATTGCTGTTATGGGGCATGTTGGACTTACCCCTCAGGCCATTAGTGTTCTTGGAGGATTTAGGCCCCAAGGTAGAAATGTCTCTAGTGCAGTCAAGGTATGAAGTTTACTACTTGGATATGGCCGTTTATAATAACTATTTGATATGTGTTTTTTTAATAAATATTGTACACTAATTTTTGCAGGTTTTAGAAACTGCATTGGCTTTCCAGGAGGCAGGGTGCTTTTCTGTTGTCATGGAATGTGTGCCACCACAAGTGGCAGCAGCAGCAACTTCTGTTCTTAAGATTCCCACTATTGGCATTGGGGCTGGACCCTTTTGCAGTGGTCAGGTTGGTGATATTTTTTCTCACATTGGCAGTGACCTGAATACTGAATACACTTAATCATCATTTTAAGAATACTCCAAATTTATGAATTATTATTTTCAAGTGGCACCAGGGCACCCTTTTATTATTTTTAAGTATGGTATTGATTATGTGGTGATAAAATGCACCAAGTGGTTTCTTAGCTAAGTCTTAGTTTGCAACAAAGAACAAATGCTTCATCTAGTCTTCCTCTACCTTAGGTTTACATCTTTGATAGACAGTGATGGACTGATGGGTGTTCAATTTTTTTCATTAAGTCATGTCTCGATTAAGATTTTTGTGTGTACTAAGTTGGCTACGTTATAGATTGTTGTTTATTGCAGAATAAACAGTCGTACTTGGCTAGAATAAACTTGTCTTGTCAATGAGTGGTCTCACTTATTAACACCTATCTAATCCATGGTAGGTTTAAAAAATTGGTTGAGTAGATGTCTGAATAGATATCTTTCATATCTTAGTGAGAAAAGGTAATATATGAGGGGTTAATGATTAAGTTGTTGGCTGGATGAATAAGTTACGTTTCCACTATTAAATGGGTAAATGATTAAGTAAGACCGTTTGTAGTCCTAGGGCATTAGGAGTCCAAAATGTTAAAGATGGACATTTTGGACTCCTAATTACTTACACTAGGGAGCATAAAAAAGGATTTAAAGATGGAAAAGGGAGTGAGAGGAGTTAAAAGTAGAGGGAGGATAGCCAGCTCAAAAAGTAAGGAAAATTGCGGAAGAAAAAAGGAGAGGCGAAGGAGATTGCTGGGAGGGTGACATCATCCCAAATAAAAAACTCTTTTATGAAGATTTATAACTTTTTTATTTGAACCCCAAATTTTATAAAATATATATCAAAATTCATATCTTTTCACGATCTATCATATGTCACCAATATTGCATATATAATTTTTTAAAGAAATCCAGAGTTTCAAGTGCTAGAGTTTTTAGGCCCAAAAAACTCACGAAACACAAAATGTTAACCCATGGTGCCCCACAAATAACCAAACTCTACTTGAAAGCACTTGAAAAAGTATAAAGAAAAATAACGAAGTTTATATCTTTTTAACATTGAAGTGTGTATCGTTTTTCAATATATTCTGAAAAAATTCAAGAAAAACATTACTTATAATAATTTAATTAATGTTATACTCTACACTGTTTTCATATCAATGGAGTCCATATTAAAGTTTTTAGACGGTGCAGGGAAGCGGATAGCCTAAACATATGTTCAAATGTAATCTGAACAACCATCTTCCTTTTTTATAAAACACTTGCAAAATAGAATAAAGTTTTTTCCACACTTGCCCATGTACAACACATAAAGTCCTGTCACTAAGCACTGCAGGGAGGATACAAGTTCCCTTTCCTATTGATAACCTCTTCCATTTCCATATCTCGTACATATAATTTCTCCTATTTTAATTTCCATTTATCCTTCTGAGTGATATTGACCCACTGGATACATTTGTTGCAATTTCCACTTTCTTTGGATCGACCAGATCTATTTCATCATTTCGGTTGAATCTTGGAGGGGGGTAGGTGAAGCGAACCAACCTGCCTCTTTTGTTGTTTGAGTCGTGTTCAGGAATTTTCATATTGGCAGAAGAAGCGAAGTGAAGAAAAAGAGAGTCGAAGGTTTCTTTCGTTTAAAAAGAAGAGTAGGCATAAATCTACGTGTTATAAATTTAGAGTAGATGTCGTAGAAAGGAAGAGAGACGGAGCAAGGATTATTAAATGAGTGAGTGAGGATATTAAAGTCAATATATTTATCTTTTATTGCTTAAAATATAAATGTTGCAGTTATTATGAAAATGCAAAGAAATGAAAGTGTTGCAACTATTAAGGAACGGAAGAAAAGTACTCCATATTAAATTTACCGTTATCTTTTTTTCCTTATTTCTAAGCTCATTCATGAGTATGGTGGACCAACAAGGACGGTGTGATTGGACAAACTCTTACTCTCTACGTCCATGCACTTAGATTTTATGGGGATTACTACGATAGAATGTTTTTGGAAAGATATTGGTATTGCAACTATAACAGCAATTTCAATGCAGGTGCTAGTTTATCACGATTTACTTGGGATGATGCAACATCCACACCACGCCAAGGTCAGTATGTGCAATCAGCTATTCCCTTTATGATGAAATTGGTTTTCATTCTTAGAAATTCGAGGCTGCAAAGTTGTGAATGACAAGTGCTACTTACTCATTTTGAAGGTTACTCCAAAATTCTGTAAACAATTCGGGCATGTTGGAGATGAAATCAACAGAGCACTTGTAGCATACAAGGAAGAAGTGACAAGTGGCTCTTTCCCTGGTGCTGCTTATAGTCCATATAAAATCAGCTCCTCTGAAATGGATGGTTTCCTGGAAGAGCTACAGAAGTTGGGTTACAATGATGCAGCATCTGCAGCTGCTGCAGCAGCATCTGAGATGATTCAGACTCCACCAAAATGATAACAGTGTGAGCTTAGTTGCTGATGGCTTTCCACCTATTAGTATTCGTTTCAGAATAGTAATAATGATGCGCCAATTTTGTTGTATTACTTTACCCCTTGATGACTTCCCTTGTCATAACTGGCTTTCCACCTTTTCTATGCACGGCAGGAAGTTGAACATTAGATAAAAACTATTCCCTCTCTCCCTATATAAAAGTATTCATTCATTTTACACACATCTTAAGAAAGTGGGTTTGGTTTGTACTGTTTGGCACTGTTTTGCACTGTTTTGTTTGCCAAAAAAGGAAAGGGAACTTTTATTTAGGGATGATCCGAAAAATAAATAGATGCTTTTATTTAGGGACGGAGGGAGTACAAGATATAAAAACATGCAACCGTTTAATTTTTCAATAAGACGGGTGCACATATTTACTTTTAGAACAACATTATGCAGACTCTAATTTCATCAATAATATGGGGTCCAATAAAAGGTATTACCTCTGTCTCCAAAACAATTTCCTATTTTCCTTATTTGGATGTTCCAAAATAAATTTAGCATTTCCGTAAAAAATAACTTTTGTTAAACTATCCTTATTTTTTACTTACTTTTTACTTGTTTTGATTTAAAGTAGGGACACCATTGAAAAGTCAATTCCATGCTTTAATTTTCCACTAAAATCTGCCCAAGTCAAAGTCGAAAGTTGTTTTCGAGACGGGGGAGTATTATATTAGGACGCATCAAATTAATTGTATCATTTTCTTTTTTGGAAAGAAACTCACACCGTTAGCAGCTAGTGCTACAACCTCTTATTTTTTATAAAGTGTACCATAATTATCTTAAATTACGTGCAAAAGCAAATGAGACAATTAATGTGATGCGAAGGGAGTATATATTACTACGTATGTATTAACTTTAATAGTGTTAGATATTAACTTTGCGTCAATACCCAAATATACTTGTGCCAACTAAATAAAAATATTTTTTAAGTTATTATTAACGCTTTACATTATTCCACATTTCCTATAGAAAATTATGATGGATCCAAATGTATATTTTAATAGGCATTTAATACCAAAGGCCTCGTATATGTACAAATGTACAATAGGCATTTAAAACACAAGACTATGATAAAGCCTGATAAAAATAATAAATAATCTCATATATTCTATATTTCTATATGAGATAGGCGGATAGTCTTTATATTTACTTGTGTTTTACATAAGTACTTATAAGTATCTCTTGAAGAAAAGAAGACAAATAAGCAAATAACTTCAAAATGAGAGTTAAAGCACAAAATGTTGCGATGAATGACTTTGGATCAAGAGGGTGACGTTTCGCCCATAATTCGAATATAATTTATTGTAGAGAACTTCAAATGACACTCATAAAGTATATGTGCCCAGACCTCATGACTCACACATCACAGAAGATGAACGCTGCAGGATATCACTAGCTCGGCTGGTCCCCTCGGCCAAACAAGGCAAACTTTACCAAAAAAGCCCAAAAGGCTCGGGAACAGAGAACTAGAAGAGAATGGCATCCTCGGCTAATGCCTCCCTCGGCTAAGGCCCCCTCGGCCAGGAACTCATCATCAACTTATACTTTACACTTAGCTATATGAAATCATGCAAACAGCACATTAGCGGCCCATTATTGCACTCGGCCTCCCAGGCCCTACTCCTGGGAGCTCAACCCACATCTCCCCTATAAATACTCCCCTTGAGAGTTGTTGTAGGGGATTAAAAATCATTAAATGCAAAGAACTTTCTCTCTCTAGATCTATACTCTATCAGACACCATTAGACATATTTGACGTAAGGTTCAAACTTTTTCTCCAAGGCAAATCCCTAAGAGCAAATCGGCTCCAATCATTGGCCAAACCAGTGTTGAATGGGTCCAACTATGTACAAATACGAGAACATACTGAAATATTTTGAAGCAATGTGAAGATTTGGAGGTTAGGAGCTGAGATATTTCATTTAATCTGATGTATATATGATTGTGAATAGATCAAAAGATGTCAGTGTTTAACCTATATAAACCCTAACTGTCATCCCATAATCATGGTTCAATCCTTAGATAAGTTTATAGTTATTCATAATTTTCTTTCACTTTTATGATATTCTTGAGGTGTAGATGCTCACTTCTTACAATCATCGATGCTCAGGAAACATTTCTTTGTAATTCTATATTCCATTTCATTTAATTGTTGCATTGTGATTAATATGAGCATAAAAAGCTAAATTTATGCTTCATATTTTCTAATTCATTCTATTTTTCTTTTATAATATGAATTCCATTACACGAATCTAATTTAATATTATACTTTCGAAATATGTGTGTGTTGAGGTTTATTCCTCCAAGTCCAAAGGCCCAACACAATCCTTTGGCTATCGTTGGAGTGTTATGGTCAAGATGAAGAAGATATGAATAATGGACAATAAGAAAACACAATTGCTCGACTGTATTAAGGTGAATATGTTGGTTACATAGAAATGGCCGAACGGGATCTCTGAATCAATCTAGGTCAAATACTAATACAAGAGCTAGAGAGGAGTATATTGCTTGTGAGTACAGTTTTGCTAACCCCTTACAATGAAATAAATGTTGGTATTTATACTATGGATGAGTAGTTGAGGGAGTGACGTAGCCGACCCTGAATGGCCTGAATCGATGATCCCCCCAACCATAAAATCCTTCATATCTCTTGGATTAAATGTGTTTCCCGCCAATTGTAAGGTTTCCCGCCAACTCGCTTGTGTCGATCCATCTTGGCCATCCCTCAACAGGAATGAAAATGGCCCAAGTGTGATATCCATGTCGTTCGGCACCGCCTGTACGACGTGGGCCGTGCGAGCGGCACAACTGCACTACCTGCTGGAATGACAATATGGATCCTGGCTTCTTAGGAATATTTTGGGCTTGGACTTGGGCCGGGTAGGCATGGACCCAACCGGACCGAACCAGAACCGGACCGGCACGCTACTGTGCGGGCCCGGATCGGACCGGGCCCGGATGGCCGATTCCGGGCTTTAGCCCAGTTTGGGCGGTTCTGGCGGGCCGGTTCCGAGCCAGGCCCGGTTCAATTTTTTTTTTTCAATTTTTTTCTTTTCCTTGGGTAGGGCTGGGTGTTTTGGGGGGGGGGGGGGGGGTTGGGGGTGGGGCAGAGGGAGGGGGGTCGGGGTTAACTAGAAAGCCAAAAAAATTACACAGAGTCGGGCTCGGCCCGGTTTGGCTCGGACCCGGTATTAACCCGGGCCGGTTCCGGGCCCAACATTCCGAAAACAAGCCCGCCCGGGCCTAGGTCCGGCCCGGTTTCACCCCTAGGACCGGGCCCTAATATCCCAACAACCTGAAATGGAAATCGTAAGCTATGTTAGTTGAGCATCAAGCTAAGCCTCCTCTATTGAGCATTGGAACCCCACAATTGAATTTAAAAATTTCAAAATCTACTAAGCATCAAAACATTATCATAGAGTATCCGTGTTCTTACTATTGAACATTGAGACTATATGATGAAATATCTTCATTGGGCATTGGAGCCTTGCATTGAACATAAAACATCTTTATTGAGTATATCGTGTTCCATACCATTGAACATTGAGACTATGGTGTTGTTTGGTATTCAACGGGTGGGGTGGATCTGCCGTTTTTTAATAAGTGAAAACGCTGGTAAATCCAGCGTTTTAGGTGGAATCCGCTGATAAACAATCATCCCCTATGTGAGCAAACATCCCCATTAAGTATTGGAAATCTGCATTTAATATCAAAACATCTTCATTAAATGTTATGTTTTCCACTATTGAGCATTAAGACAGTATGATCAACTTGTTGAGCCCGTAAAAAAGAGAAAAAAAATTGTCTACACCTGAATGTACTTTCTTGATCAGATTTCACTACTAACCAACTTCATCTCCGTTAAATTTTCAAGTCTCGAGATTCCTCTTTCGTCTTTAACTTTTCCTTTATTTCTTCTATTCATCAATCGATCATCCTTGAGCTCTAATATGGGATTGGAACTGCAACAAGACCATAGTGTACACTATTGCACATTCTAAATGATATTGTGTATGATTCATGAATTTAGCTCCTCTCCGGTAACTGGAATTCTCCATTAGGAAGAGATAGAGTGAGATGTGGAAGTGGTGGGGTATGGAGAAAGAAAAGACGGGGTTTAATTATTTTTTTTAAGGAGAGAGATAGAGTGAAAAAGAAATGGAGAGAGTAAATGGAGAGAAGGAAATGGAGAGGAGTATGACTCATGATTCCCACTACCACAACAACACAGATGCAACCCACCCATCGTCGGTTCTTTCATCTCAACCAGTACGATCCTTCTACAGCTGTGATCACCACCTCGATGAGAATTTTCTGACTTTTGCCCGGATCACGCTGGCGTATAGTTGTTTATATAAAAGAAAAAGAAAAGACGAAGAATTCACAAAAGAAAGAGAGCAAATGTACGAAGGGAAGAAGACAATGCAGTGAAAATAATACTCCCCACGTCCCATAAAATAGTTCCCACTTTCCTTTTTGGGCCGTCTTAAAAAATAGTTCTCATTTCCCTTTTTGGAAAGTTTTGTGTGCCTATGTCAAACAGAAATTCAGGCTTGAAGTTTTATTCAACATAAAGCAATTATTTATACAAAGAACAGTTCTACGTAAACTAGGAAAGAACAACTAAGAATAATTATTTCCTATAATAACTTGATACTACTTAATAACGAGAGAATATTTCCTTAACACCTCCCTCAAGTTGGAGCATGTAAATTACAAATGCCCAACTTGTCAAGGAACACGTCGAATTGCTTTCGGCCAAGAGCTTTGGTAAACATGTCAGCCAATTGGAGAGTAGTAGGAACATAGGAAGGTGCGATTAGGCCATCATGTATGGCATCTCGGATGAAATGGCAGTCAACTTCAATTGTCTTGGTACGTTCATGGAAAACAGGATTTTGTGCAATATGGAGAGCAAATTGACTATCACAGAAAAGAGAAATGGCCTTCGGATGATGGACACCTAAACTCAAAAGTAATCCTTTTAACCACATTAACTCACAGATAACGAATGCCATAGAGCGATACTCGGCTTCAGCGGAAGAGCGAGACACAGTATGTTGTTTCTTCATCCGCTAAGAAATAGGAGAGTGCCCAAGAAAAACTAACCAGCCCGTGAGAGAATGACGGGTAAGCGGACACACAGCCCAATCTGAGTCACAACAGCCTTGTAAACTAAGGTCATTATCAGAAC